TTGGATTCAACTTCTTGTTGTATGCTACTCTCTTGTCTCTATCTGAGAGCAAACTCCAGGCTTCTGAGACTAGCTTGAATGCCCCGTCAGAACCAAGGGATTTGTTTTTGTCCGGGTGGAGGGCCAGAGCTAGCTTCCGATACTGCTTCCTCACGGTATCATCATCAGCCAAGGGGCTAACACCGAGCACGTTGTACCAATCGACTTCACCGTTGCTTATTTTATTCTGGGCAGATATATAGACCTCAAGTGTTGTCAGCATTTGAGGCACGCCTTCCAGACCGGGATATAAGTTTTGAGCCTTCATGACAAACTTTTTGGCAGCGAGATAGTCCTTCGAATTGAACTTCCTCTCGGCGATTTCTTTAGCCCTGAGTGCTTCATCTTTGTTGCACTCCATAATACCCGAATGAATCCCAAAAGAGAAAAATTCTTCCTCTCTTGCCTGCTTGGAAGTAAACTGAAAGTTCAACCAAACATTCCTAGCAGGGCCTCACTAGTTGAATCTTCAAATAAAATTACCAGATTAGCAGCTTACTGCAAGAAGAAGACAACCCAAAAAAACAAGGATCAGTAGAATCTCATAAGGAACAGGTATTAGATCTATAGTACTGACAACTGCCAAGTTAGGCATAAGTCAGTAGTCTAATCATTCACAATGCCTTTAGGGGTTTTAGCCAGTTCTGGGAGTGCAATGCATTGGAAATTCTGTCAGACTAGCATAACAATATCCCAACTAGCCTAATTGACAGCAGCTTTCTAGAGGACAAGCCTAATTGAAATAGCAACCTATACTTAAAGCCTAACTTTCAATATGAACACATAAGTGTTTGAAGGTCTTTCTGCTATTAACTGTGGTAATATTCTCTGCAATTCAAACAAGAAATGTGATCTACTATAGCTACAGCTTATGCTAGTGAGTTCCTGTAGTACAAAAGCGGGGTCATCATTCACAAATACGAAAAATTATCCATTTTGCTACTCAGACTACTGCTCGATGCAGGAATACTATGCTGCGTGATAGGCTAGTAGTATAGAGCAATGCCAACATAATCGCTGTGAAAATGCTTGTAACTTGTGTTCAACACATATTTATAGTTTGATATTTGAAGTTGACATTACCTATCTGAAAAGTGCCCATCACATATTAATGTAAAAATGTTCTAATTCTGTCTACTTTCTGAATCATACATCACCAATTAAGACCCAACAAAGTACCAAATAAGAACAATGCTTGAAAAAAGAGGTCAGAACTTCAACTAGTAGAAAGAAAACTTGAAAGATAGATTTTCAGTTTAATGATCAGTTGGGGGTTAAGAGCCGGGCATGGGCAATCCAAATCCTAATTTCTCTAAACATGTCCAATTCCAAGTAACACACAGGGAAACATAGGTCGCATAACACCCCATGGTAGCCATTAATCTACACTAACGCGCACAGCGCATAGGGGACCAAACCCAGATTCAAAATGCCTGCCAACTTCCAGTTGCCTCCACCGAAAGCAACAAACAGAATCCCAATTACGTTCAAGCAAAGCTCCACATCGAAAGCTCATAACACAACCTCCATTCGCAGACAATCCAAAACACAACGACACGGCCGTAGATCTGCAGCACGTAAACAAGTAGAATGGGCCCAAGTTGCACTACATTCAAACCCGCCAGCAAAAAGAATTCGCTTGGCGGCATAAAACCCTAGAATTCTGGAAACACGAAAACAGACCCCCGAAATCGACAATGGCGAGCCAGATACCGAACAATGCTTCCCGCGAAGAAACAAAGGGAATTAGAGGAATCTGAAAAAATAAAACCAGGACCGAGTTGCGAGAGATGAACAGTTCATACCTATTTAAGGCAAAAGCGGCATTCTCCCAAATGATTGGGGGAAATTTTTTTGAATCTGAAGAGACCAGTTGCAATCAGTAGGATGTAGCGGGCAACGACTCATCTCTTTTGTCCAAACCCCATCAACCAACTGACCTGGAAGAGGAATTTCTCTCCTTCTCCCCTCTCTCTCTCTCTCTCTCTTCCTTTCTTCCTTTCTCTCTCTAGTTACAGGCTCAAAAAACTTCTATGAGAGCCCACCAACTATGAAATTAAAAATCTAAATAATATTTAACAAATTGGAGGAGAAAAAAAGCAAGTATGGGTTTGGTTAAGTATTTAACCTAAGCATTAACCCAACCACATGGACAACTTTTTTTCCTCTCATCCTCCTCCTCTCTATCTCTCTCTTCTATGGATGAAAGAATCTCAACTATGGTTAGATTTTTAACTCTTGGGTTGGGTTTCATAATTTGCTTCCCCATGGCTATTAACTCGACCACGGTTAGTTTTAACCTTTCTCTTGGGTCAGGGCTAACCAAATCTGGGGTTAGTTTCTCTTCTACTTTTTTTAACTAGGGTAGGGTGAAACGGTTTGGATCCTGATTGACTGTTCAGATCAAATTGATGAAAATACAGCCTCAGGTGTTTAATCTGAATAACTCAATTGATTAGAGCACCAATCACATATAATAAAGTGAACCACAACAAAAATGATCAACCTATCAATAACATTGTTTCTCACCCTATGCCAATCAACACTCAAAGAAGAATGAAGAATCAATTGAATTTGGTTACATGAGGTTTCCATTTTTCAAAGACGCATAAATTCGTAGGTAAAAAGACCAACCATTTTACAGAGAGGGGCGGACCTCAACCAAAACCTTATAGGGAATTTGGGCCGTGTAGAGTGTTTTCTGTTTTGGACTTCGACTCTTTCTAGAGCGGACCACGATCATCACAAAAGTCCAATTAAGTACACAAATCGTCCATCACAATGAATCGATTCAAACATCATCAAGGTAACATGCCAAATAATAATAAAACTCAGACGTGATCTCCAAACCTGTTTGATTTGACTTCTAGTCATTGAACCACGAACGTGAGTCGTATACCATCATTATTTCAGCCACCTCTAATTCTTTTGGTATTGACAGATCCTTCGTGCTAAACTTATTAGTGTCTATGCCCTCGACATCGTAGTCCTTCGTATATTCATTAAGGAAACTCAAAGAATGAATGGTTGAAGAAGCCCAGCACCATTGCACATCCTCCTTCAAATTATGAACTCCAGAACCCCATCCATATGCCAGTTTTCAATCAATCAAAGCTAATACTTTCCATATATAGTTCTTCCATCCAACAACAAAAGGAAACCCTATGAAAGTTAAATAAGAATCCAGGCTTTGGCATTTGATATGCGCACTATTGCCTAATGACAATAAAATAACAATTCAGAACATGCGATTGTTTGTTCGTTCGTTTCGTTCGTTCATTGCTTGCCTGTAAAAATACAGATTCGAATCAGCTGGCCACTGACGGCAATTCGTCCGCCACCTGCCGTATATATGTAATAAAAGTACATGCATAATTAGTGGGTGTCTTGTTTTCTGACATATATGATATATATAGTTTCATAATTCTTCCACGCGACAGACAGAGGGATGACAGGATGTTCTTATTGTTTTTTTTAATAAGGTTGTCAGCGTTCGATCCACTTTGATCCTGATCCGGTGAGAAAAATGGGTTGCATGCATTCGTCAGGTCGATCGCTACAAGGTATCGAGTTGGATCTAAGTATGATATGTTGCTTTGATGTAATGTTATATGTTATTACTCATATGTTAAATGAAATTTGATACAATTTATAAAGATGAGTACAATATAATGACTTTTTTATATTTTCGGACTAAAACGGGTGACCCGACCCTTGACCAGCTCGGTTAATAAGGTGACGAGATAAAGGTCTTTGTAATTTTGTACCAAGTGAAATATGCCCATCTCTATTGGCTGGAGTGGGTTTCTTGCACGATTTGATTTGCCCAAACTCCATTACCTTCTTGAGAAACGAGCAGCTGGCTTTGGTGGCAGAAAATGTCTGAATGCGACAAATGTGATTCATTCCTTTTTCCCTCATTAAAAATCGAACTTATTGGTTATGGTGGGTTCGATGAATCAATAACAAAAAAAAAAGTTTTAGCTTGTTCAATTGTTTGATTCCATAAAGCGGGTCATTTTATAACTAGTGAATTGAATTACATACCTCAGCCACACAATTGGAATGGATTCAAAAACGGAACAATTCATAAATTTCACAAAGACCAAATGGACCCAAAATTCATAAATTCCACATACCAATTGGAATAGACTCAAAATGGTTCATTTCATTAACATTTGAGCCATGTTATTGTTACGATGTTGGGGGACGCCTTGATTTAGACCACATGTATGCTCCAATTATCCATTAGGTTAAGAGCGCGATGGACAGTTTTGCGAAGACCAGGATAGTTCATGTGTATAGAGAACATAATCATGTGGCAGACTATTTGGCAAATAAGGGGCATTGCAGCCCCCGCCGGTAGCTCGTTGATAGATCAATAGAGCCTAACTTATGCAGTTGGATTGTTAGGAATATTTTTTGGGGAATGTGAACCTCGATTGATCAGTATAAGCACGGGTTATGGCTCCTCTTAGCACCCGCTTTTTCACCCCCAACAAAAACTTCATTCCTATACTAGTTTGCTAATCGTCATCACTATCGCAATTGCCCATCTCAACAAGCAATTAGTCCGACCTTGAATTTTGACCAACCGACCATTTAAACAATTTATTATTTTAGTTAACTCGAACAAAATTACATTAATGTAGTGCCCTATCTCATAGCAAAAATGTTCTTACAATGATAGTTTGTTTTTTGGTTAACTATAAACCCTTGATTTCCCCCTCATTTATCATGCTCGCTTGCTTATTTTCATCGATTTATTCCTCGTAGAATATTTATGACCGAAGAAAAATCCAACCGACGAATTTTATCAAGAGCCAGAGCCTACGAAATTATAAGTTGAAGGATGAAAAGAGGAAAACATCACATAAACCCGCGTCGTTTTGTCGTTGGACCTAGCGTTTCCTTCTTACTCGCCGTGCCGTTTAAGATCGAGGGTTTTATTTTGGAGTACTCTGAAAGAAAGAAAAAGGAAAAAAGGAGCCGAGGAAACCGAGAGAGATTCATAAAGAGGAAAGGGCGGCCGAATCCCAGCTAGTGGCCGCTACATCCTTTTGCGCCCTCCCGGCGCCGCCATCGCCGCCGCCTCCGCTCCTGCTCCTCCGCCGATTTTTCCGATAGCCAAAAAATCGACAGAGAATTGAGAGAGGGAGTATCTGGAGAAGAAATTGACTGATAGAGACCGTAAACAAAAACGGTGGAGGAGGAGAATCTGTGTTCCGCCGCCGTACCGGAGCCGCCGCTGCTCGGTGTCCTCACTCATTTCTAAGAGAGTAAACCGGTCTGTCGTCGGGAAGGGAGAATTCGCCAGAAGGAGAGCTGCCTCTACGTCCCGCTGCCGTCCTTTACTAACAAGAGTAGTATTGCCGGTTTCTCCGTCAGTTCGTGGTTCATTTCTTCCGTCGTCGCCGGTATCCTAACTCTCCGAACCTCGGTAACGGCTTCTACCTGACGCTATCTGTTCTCCGATCATTTTATGTGCTTCCGTTTGTTGCTCTGCGTGAGTGAGTGGACTACTGAAGAGAGTGAAAATGGATGGATGAGAAATTTGAAACTTAAAAACACTTTTGCAGGGTTCAGCAGCGATGGATTCATCACCGCGACAGCAAAGCAGCAAACAAGAGGATGAAAGACCTGCGGCAGGTGGAGTCGGATCTGATGCCATCTCAGGTTTAAGCAACAATGGCAGGAAAATCACTCGTCACGATGTCAAGATGGTGAGCCTAAACAGAGAGAGTCGTTTTCAATTTGTTCATTGTTGATGGATGGAAATTGAAAACTCGAGAGTTGAAGTTCATCAATGGTGTTTGTAGGTCCAGAATTTGATAGAGAGGTGTCTGCAACTGTATATGAATAAGAACGATGTGGTGAATACACTCTTGGAGCAGGCTAGAATCGAGCCTGGGTTTACAAGCCTAGGTGAGCAGCTGCTATGTCTGTTTATGATGCTAAGCATCAATTTCTCTGCATTCTATCCATATATGAAGTTTTTGACTTAGAAGTTATGTTAGCCTGAAGTTAGTTTACCTAATTGGCAATAATGTGTGGTGACGTTGATCCTCTCGAAGCTCGGTAAAATCTTCAAATAGAAACTAACTTGAAAGCTGAAGGCAAGAAACAAATGAGCGAGGCAATAATGTACCATGAATTGCTTTTGGCTTGATGCTGCTAGGGTTTTATATACCAGGGAGCATTAACGCCAACTTTCTTACCTTATTAGAACTTACTTTTGACTGGATCAAAAGCTGTTTGTTAAGCTCTATGACGATTATAAGTTATTTTGGAAGGGCATTTTCCCCATTTGCTTTGATAGTGGTACATTATGGTTCTGATACCTCTTTATCCTACCATGGTCATGGTTTAGTATGGCAGAAACTGGAAAAAGAAAATGTGGAATTTTTCAAGGCCTACAACGTGAGGCTAACCCTGAAAGAACAAATCGATCGGTTCAACCAGTTACTCGTGCATCAATGCCAGCTAATGCACTACCCTGCTTCCCAGGATTTTCCATCTCATCAGAATGGGGATGCCCAAGTGCCTGGTAAGTTTTTCCGTGAACGTCTCAGTATCTATCCTAGACAATGCTTCAATGATGTTTTGTTTGTCCATGCTTACACTGAACCAACAACTAGGATAAGCACAGAAATGTTTTGGTAGATGGATTAGCATAGAAGTTCAAAGCTACATTTGTGGAATATCCTGATTTTCACTATGACTGAGATGCTGTTTCTGTTGTCTGTAGTACAGTTACTGGTTTACCCGCAGAACCTAGCTTCTTGCAGCAGCAGTCTGGGGTTCCATCAACGTGTCATTCCCAGATGCGTCAAGTGAGCAGTGTGTCTGACTGCCAAGTGGTGAACGGTTTCCCTGCTTCAGGAAGTTTCCACCAATTGCACCTGAATGCTGATAGAGAGTGAGTACTGTACTTGCCTTTTCCTTTTGTCCAAAAACTGAATTATCTGTGCCCAGTAAGGACTATTTTAGATGCGTTGGAAAACTTCTCCACTAATTAAATCTGCTTGCTATTTTGTAAAGGGCGATAGTGGACGGACATTCAACGGTAACAACACTCCCCATCAATCGTTCGCTTGAGTCTGAGGTGGGGGGAGGCCCTGCATCCAATGGCCGATTCTCGCTCGGTGCAGTTGAGATGGCTGGATTCTCAAATCTGGATTATCTGCCACCGAACTCGTCATACGCAGCACATATGGACATGATGCCTCCTCATTTGCAAGATGGTGCTGACGGCGGGTGTGATTATCGCGGGATGCCTGTCCATTCGTTCCCACATATCCCCTGGAACTTGAGCTTCCCGGATCTGGGTGCGGACTTGGCAAGTATTGGAGGTGAGATGGACTCCTGTTTCCTTGGATCTCTATCAGGCCGACGTAGACAGTAGTTGCTTTCCCCACAGTGTTGGATTTTGACCTTTATTCTGTCCTTGCTACCAGATCACGGTCAAATGGAGAACTACTCGGGCTCAGATATACTCCTGGATTCAGCAGAGGAAGAAAATGACATGGGTGATTGTGGCTGAACCCTTCGTTTTTCATTTTGTCCCATGCACAGTCATGATAATAGCCTGTCGAATCCGCCTTATCGCTAATGTTGCTCGGATCCATTTTGTTGCCTGCAGTTAAAGAGTTCTTCGTGGATTCGGTTCCTCCGTCGAGCCCTCAAATCGAAGAGAAACCTGACGTCGGGGCACTATAGAATGCAGCAGTGTTAACAGTAGGCAGCAGCAGGCGGGTCGCGTTACTCTACTCGTACAATTTTTTTAATGGTTACCTCATCAGAACAGCTATGTAGACTGTAGTCCTTAGAAATGCGATACAGAAGGCCATAATGGCTGCTGCGTCGTGTCGTTCTCTTGTTTACAACTTTCCCACCGGAAGCCAAGGTGGGTTTCCGAAGCCCATTTAGTGGGCTTCCCATAAACTGTAGGGCCTTCCCCTTTAAGTTATCGGGTTTCTGGAGGCCCAATTAATTATAATGCATTCACAAACCTCTATGAAGAGAACCTCAGTTTAGTCGGTGTATATTGGTAGCTGGTAGGCCATTTAACTGATATGCAGCGCAGAACTTGAATTCAAGCATCAAGCAAATTCTGGAATGGTTTATGTCCAAATAATTTCGGTGACGCACTACACGACTGATACTCAGGAATTCATGGTTTTTTTTTGTTGACATATAAGCAGAAAATAAAGGGCAGAATTAAGGAAGAAAGTTTATACTTATTTTCAGATTAGGCTGGGACACGACGGAGAGAAATACAAACAAAAACAACAAATGAAAAAAATTGGCTTCTTAAAACATATGAACATTTTTTTCGGCTAAGACTCAGCGGGGCATGCACAGATTTCTTTTCTATGGAGAGAGGAGAGATTATGCCTAAAAGAGGTCTTACTCTGAGCCTACACATGCAACAAGAGCCAGAACTCAGTCGCTGCTCTCTTTATTCTTGGGTGGTGTATCCACCGCAGCAATGATGGTTGCCGGAGCATCGCTGTGGTGGAATCTCACCACTATGCAAGTAATGTTGTCGGCACTGCCCCTCGTAAAAGCAGTCTCCACCAGCTTCTTCGCTGCTGCCTCGGGGTCTTCCTCGGATCGGGCTAGCGAGACGGCATCCTATGCACAGAAGGATGGGGCGTATGAGCAAAGGGGGGAAAGGAAAATGGAAAAGCAATCACCCAAAGAGGGGGGAAAAAGGTTTGGAGCTCACATCGTTTGGTACCACATCCCATAGTCCGTCGCTTGCGAGGACTAGCAATTCAAACTCATTATCTACCTTCAGATCCTGGCCAGTCACAGAAAACTTCTTTAGTTCAAGTGACAGTAAGATTAAAATAAAGAACATGTTTACTTCAACAAGCAAGGATTACGATGGTATAAAGTTTCCAGATTATGAGCTTGGAAGATTACCTGGATTTCAGGTTCTGCAACTACATATTGCTTTAACATACGGTTCCCAAATGCCCGTGACATGGCCAAGACACCACCAACCCTCCATGTGCCTGAGCAGAAAATCAAAGTACTCTTATGAATTTCCACTATTAAAAACTAATGCAGGGATTTGAGCTTCATTTAGATCATGATTACAACTTTATTCAGACTTCAACAAGCAGGATGTCAAGTAGAATTACCTGCCCACATCACTACACCGCCAGCATTTTCAATTCTCTTCCGCTCATCACTTCTATTAGGTTTATGATCCTCAGAGAGGGCAATTGCTGTCAAATCACAGAAAAGGAGAATGGGAAGGCATGGTTAGGTTTTAAACAACAATCGTAGCTGCAGTTAGCAGACTGACAAACAAGGAACAATTAGCAGTTTGGTAGTTGAAGATGAAGACGAAGATCATGAATAGCCATAACATGGTAAGGTAGATTGAACTGTTGAATTTCACTCTTATCATTAAATACTATCAAGACACTGTTATCTGAATTGTCTCGGTATTAAACTATTTCTTTAGAAGTGGAACCATGTCTACGGACCAACACAAGAGCTGTCTCGAATGCACATCTCTCGATCTAAGTGCCAAGGCCCTATATGTACTTCCTACTTTCATCGTCTATTATAAAGCACAACAAGAAGATATCATGCCCAAAACATTACCAGACAAGCTGCACCTTGACAGTGCAAAGAAACAAACAAACAGCAACAGCAAATTGGTACCTTTTCCAGCCTTGGAGACCACAGTTCGTGAATCCCCAACGTTCGCAACATACAGATGGTCGCCTACTAGAACTGCTGTTGAAGCAGTAGAGCCATCATCTCTGTATGTGTCCTTTTCAGAATCCAAGAAGTCAGCATCAGTCTGTTGATATGTTGCACCTGCATAATAATAAAATTATTATTGCAAGTACATTAAAGTCATTTGTAGTATTTGGCTAAATATGATCCTAATGAAGTATGACAAGAACAAAATTTGAACATACTTATAGCTGATTTGGTATCTGACATAAATTGTGGGTGCTTCATTAGATTCTCAAATAGGTGTTGCTTTAAATATTCAGATGCTCGAGAGCCACCATGACCTGGAAAAAAAATTACGTAACGGTCATCACATGGTATTCAATTTTCATCCACAACTAGAAAAGGAACATAGGGCGATCACCGACACGTGTATAGTGACAGATCTTATAGTCCAAACTGTGAAGTAACGACAAGATGATCGCGCAAAACATGGTTATTCCTAAGCCTAATGGGAAGCAATCCTAGTATATTGGAGCAAATATATAAACACAAGTTGGCAATCATCATCTGAAAGGAGAGATCCATCATCATTTTTCCTTTTATGATGACTGCGCGATTCATTTATTGAAATTGGACAAACCAAGGTCAAACTGTATATGTAAACACCAACAAACCGGTTCCACGCACTACCATATGCATCCACGACAACACTAAAGATTCCCAACGGCTACAATTGGACCCAAAGTTTGACCATCATGCAATGAACACACAATGTTATACAATAACTGGAAAATAAAAACTAACCATCAAATATTCCAAACATGCAGACTGGTTTCTCGTCAATCTTTGAAATTTTCATATCACAGAAGTCCTCCATGGTTGCTCTCTTTCCTCTGAAACTAGAGTACCCACAGCTCAATTTTCCATCCTCACTGCCAAGAGCATCAGATACAAATGTCAGTAATGCTTAACAGAAACATGTCAGTTTCTTAAGGTTACTTTGTTTTATTTGAAGGATGAGTGCGGCATAAGTTGCAGTGACAGGAGATATGAGAATTGCAATAACGAAATGATACCAATTATTCAATCCATCTTCACAAGGACCAACAAGGATGAATTGAATACTAGGAAGAATAGTTAATAGTCCTGCCAATAAGCTGATTACTACAAAATACTCTTCAATAGCATGTGAAAATTTGTGATAAGAACAATCTACAATCCCTGAATCATCCTATCATCTTTTCCTTTCACTCTACCCTTCCACATTTTCTCAAACATAGCAACTGGATACCACCAGGATACATGTTCAATTACCAACCTTTTGACAAAAAACATTTAAGATCCACAGGGACAAGTAAAAGAAGTGCAAAATCCATTAAGAGACAAATCACATTGATATTACGCTTCATATATCATGAAAATGCAATGGAGCATTCTGAATCCCAGAGAATAACCTTTTACAAGTTCCACCGAGATATCCGCCGCCTTCTTCTTTCTCCGGCTGCAGGCCGCCGACTGCTGGCGCGGCTTTCGCAGCCGTGGATCCGGTATCTACCATCATGATTGTCCGAACAGGGAAACTAGGATTCCACGTATTATTATTCAGGCGAAGAAGGCCAAAAGTACTTCGCGAAGAATAGGTCTTCCTCCCGACGTTGTGGCTGGATAGCAACCTTGTTCTGGAGAAAACCACGGCTTGAGCAACCACACTCCTGATGCAGATGTTGCATACAACCATCTAAAATCGGCAGACTCTGGCCCTTCTTTGGCGCCAGATCACACTCCTCGTCCGGTCACTACTGGCAAAAACGAAGTGAAAAGCCGCTGCATCACAAACAAAACAAAACAAAACAACGCAAATCAGCAATCCATACAGAAATCGAAATCGTCATCCATCATCAGAAATCTCAGATCAGAATGCAGCATCGGAGATTTAACAATCATCTCAACAAATAACAAAAGAAAAAAATATAGAGACGCGAAGCATTCAAACGAACACAGATTACGGCCGTCGATTCAAATGCCTCACCGGAATTAGAACAGTAAACAGAAACAAAAGAACGAAATGATAAACGGGAATCATCCACCACCTAACTCTCGGATCAGAATGCAGCATCGGAGATTTCACAATCATCGCAAGAAATCATCATAAAAAGCACACAAACGCGAAGCAATCAGCTGAACGCAGATTACCGTCGTCGATTAGAACAGTACGCAGCAGCAAAAAAAAAAAAAAAAACAAAGCAGAACGGATGAGAGATCAGAATCACGATTACCTCGAATCGTTCTACTCATCTAGCCGACGGGAAACCGTCGAAACATGGAAAAATTTCTCTCGCTGCGAGCAAAGTACGGATCGGTCTCTGTCGATTGAATTGAATCCAAAGAAAATATACAGGTTCGAATCAGCGGATCGAGAGATCGGAGTGGCGATCCGGTTAAAAAGCGGCAAAGGATCTAAATCTGAGAGAGAGGTAGAGATAGAAAGAGTTTTGTTGATGGAATCGGGAGGTGGAAGGGAATGGATTTTCTTTCTTCTTCTCCTCCTCCCTTCTTTCTCTCTCCCGAGAAAGTGAATGGAATCTGGAGGAGCTAAAGAAAGGTGGGAAGGGAATGGAAGGATAGAGATGGAGAGATAGAGCGAGAGAGAGAGAGAGAGAGCGGAAACAAACAAAGGGGAATTGGGAAATGGAAAGAAGAAGAAGAAGAGGAGAGAGAAAGAGAGCGGAAAAGATGGGAGAGGTTTGGATTTATATATGCGGAGTGGTGACTGAGCGAACTGAGGGAGTGAAGAAGAATTGCAACGTGGCACACTTCATGCAATTAATCAAAATCTTAGTTTTTTTTTTTTAAAGAAAAAAGAATTATCGAGCGCGGTGGATCCACTAAGAAACCCCGGCCCAACAAAATATCAAAGGCCACGTTGGACATCTTAAGATTGTGGGATTAATTAGCAAACCGGTCCATGAATAAGAGTATTTTATACAAAGTGGTCACACTTCTGTTTTCTTTTTTTTTTTTTTGATAGCGTCACACTTCTGTTTTCAGAATCGGACCACACGATTGGAATAGGAAAAGATATTGATTTATGGTTTGGTGATTAATCTTTATAACAAACTAGGAGTGAATGAAGAAATCAAAAGCGGAAATAAATTAAACAAAAAGGGGCGAAGAAGGTAATCGTTATAACAAATTAGGATTGATCACTGTGATTTGACTGATTTCAGTGGTTCAGCGTCTGACTAGCGGCTAACGAGAGCTGTTTTGGATCATTGTTAATCGTCCAAATAAAAGGATCGATACGCTATTACAGTTAACTCACAATTCCACTAATTCGATTGGCCTATCCCGTTTGATTATAGTAACAAATCTACTTCCGTCCATCCAAACACCGTGGCTTTTGAACCAAACCAACTTTCATTTTTTTTTTAACATTTCATTACCCTAATCATTGTGTTTGCAGGAACCTACGTAGAGACAAAATTAGGCTAAACCCATTATGAATAGGTTTATAATATGTTGGGAGAACGATCATCCATACATGTAAGTATAATTATTGGAGGGTAATTATACTGAATCTATAGATGTGGAATGATGATGGTCTTATTAATAGTGGATGCATAGTTGTAAAGGGTGTACTATTAGGTCTTAATTAAAGAAGATAAAAAGGTTGGGTACTGGGAGTGTGAAGGTTTGGTAACCTGGTCCCTACTAAGCAGATTTGTTTACAAAATATTTGAAAGCAAGGAAGTATAACGATAGATCGTGCTTCCTTTTTCCCTCCCACTCGAATTTAAGATCACAGGGAGTTGAAGTTCCTTCTTGTTTGAGGGAAACAATTAAGTATAGTTCATTAGATTGATTCATTAGCTTTAGTTTATAGATTGAGATCTTGTAATGAGTGATCCGTATAATGCGAAATTCCCTTTTTAATATATGAAGTTGTTTTACGTATCCACGTAATCATGAATCATTATCCTAATCCAAATGAACAAATCAATCAGGTAACACAAATTGGCAAAATCTCGTATACATGATCGATATAATTATGTACACTTTTATACAAAAGGCTGTGAATTTTGATAATTAAGTGGTTTAACAGACACAATACATGAATTGTTTTTGTTACGTGACAGAAACTATCACTCAAAATGAGTGATTGTTATATCTCAGCTTTTAGTTGTGATGGTTTTATCTCAATTTTTAGTTGATGTGACATACACAATCGTACATATCAAACGATGTTTCTTACAATGCATCAAATTCATCAATACATGTATTCACAACAATACATCTATTTAACAATCGTAACTTCAAAATGAAATATAACTTACAAAGTAGAAGAGAATCGACCTTGGATGTATCTGGAACCCACAACATTCAATGGAGTTGGGGCTATTTGAGCTATTTTTCTAGTGGTTTAGATGATAAGGTGATTAGGGGTGGTAAATGGTTAGTCAGTTGTCGGTTTTCACCGATAACCAAATTGATAAAGGCTGTTAGTGGTTAATCGATAACCGGTAGTTTTTTATTGGTTCGATTTTGGTTAGTAGTATTCAGCTTAGTGGTTAACCGCTAACCGACTAATTGGTTAGTGATTAATCGATTATCGCCTACTAGTTAACTACATAGTTTTGGACTTTGGATAAGAGAAATTTTTTCAAGATTCAAAACCAACCAAAGTCACAATTCCAAACATCTCAATTCCTGCCTATTGCAAACAACCATCCACCAAGAGTCTCAAATATGTTTAAGAGTTAGAACCCGAAAGTCATCCCTTTCTAACTCCTCTTTCAGTCGTTAGAACGAACCTCACACTCTAGCTAGTAATCTTTGTCTCTTTGATGTTTGTAAATGATGATGCTTTGGTGGTGCTTGTGTTTGATGTCTTGGTAGTTGGTACTTACTAATTGGATGAATATGTTTGATTATTTTTTATTTTATGCATTGGAATTTTGATTTAAACTACGGGATCACGATGAATGTTGTATTATATTGATATTATTTCTTATAATTATTAATTTATATTTATAATATAGAAATGTAGATAAATTATTTTAAATTATTTGTATGATTATTCGTCTTTAATATTTAGTACTTTGTATTCTTGATCATTGTTATGCTTGTGGACTGAAATTGATGTTGAATGACACTTGTTAAATTTAAAAGGATTGTTGGTTTGTGTATTATAAGTTATCATTATTTCTATTTATTATATATTGTAAAATAAAATTGAAACTATTGATTTGATATTAGTTCGATTAGGTATGAACCATACTTGTTGGAATGTATTTTAGTGGTAATTGGTTAACCGTCAAAATAACCGCTACCCGAGCCGATAAAAGGTGGTTAATCGATAAGACTTATCGGTTCGATTATCGGTATGAGCTTTTTACTCAATTGTTAACCACATTATCAATTAATGATTAACCGAAACCGAACAGATTAGCATCCTAACTGGTGTTTCAAAACCCAGTCCCGTTTATTTTAAACTAGGATTCACAATGGGAGCGAGCCCCGCCCAATTAACCAGACAAAAGCCCAGCCCGCCCAACTTTATAAAAAAAAAAAAACAAAGAGTCCAGCGTGCATGACAAAGACGTACGGGTTGTGCATGCATTAATTATCTTTTTGCAAATTGACACTTAATTAATCAATAGAAAACAAAATGCAAATCATCATCAATTATTCAACAGGACAAATTAGGGGTTCAGGAGGAAAATATTATGATTAATTTTCTTGGGGAGTTGAACTAATGAGAAAATTAGAATACGTTGATTAATAATTAAAATGTTTTAGGGTGGGGCTCAGTGAAAGAGAGAGGGATTAGGGATAGGAGGAAAGATTCAAGCAAAAGTCATCCTCCTAGGGATAAGGAAATTACCGAAATAATAATAGTCAAGGGTTAATTGCATGGTTGGTCACTGAAATTATAAAAAACGTTCAAGTTTGGTCACTCGAAATATTTAAATCCATTGGTGGTACTTCAGTTTACTGAAACCGTTCACGTTTGGTCACTCTCCGTCCAACTCCGTTAACTTTTGCTGATGTGGCAGTCAACTCTCAAAGTTGACCGTTAACTTAGTGACGTGGCAATTAAAAAATTATTAAAAATAAAAAAATAAACTTTTATATTTTTCACCTCATTATTACATTTATTAAAAAATAAAAAAAATAAAAAACCTAATTTCTTATTACATTCATTAAAATACTGGTCTCCCCTGTTTTCTACCCGGTGTTCAACCGAGATCGATTTCCCGGCGACGCTGAGGGACAGAGCAACGATGCTCCAGCAGCTGCCGAAACTGACACAGCATGAACCAGAACCAATCAAATCAAGAAATCACATTGAAGAAAAGTTAAAAAAAAAAACAGAGGAAAGGAAGAGTCAGGAATTCAGGGGCTCTGTGGGAGAGGAGGCAAGTAAGTATCTATTTGAAAGCAAAAGCAAAGCCCCATTTGCCAGCTTTAGCATTCAATGAAGTTTCCCCAAAGAAACCAAAAGGACCCAAATCCAAATCAGACAAATTTGTAGTCAGCATTCAGCAGCAGCACAGCAAATGAAGATTAACCAAACAATGTCAAGTTAATAGTCTGCAAGACAACAGAAGAACATCTGAAGTTCATCTATGGAGGCAAAATGAGAATTGGGTTCATGGGCTCAGTTTCCCTATCTATGGCTACAACTCATGAATTTGACCCACTTCCACCAAATTCTACAGAACCCAAGTTAGTTCCAACCCTGTGGGCCAACATCAACAATGGAAAAGACTATACAGAACCATAAAGATGAAAACTTTGATTCGAGAAATTGGTATTGTGTATCGAAAACATCCACCTTGCTTTCAGTTTGGAGAAACTTAAGCATCAGAAACCACACTAAACTCGTCGTCTTCCTCTTCCACCGGTGCTGGAAAGTTGAGATCCAAAAAACTGTAGTTCTTGTCGATTTTGGCAGCCGGCGGAGGTGGTGGTGGTGGACGAGCGGCAGCTGGCGAAGGGTAGGAACCACCGCCGTTGAGATGCGACCTCTTGTGTCCGCCCAGTGCTTGACCCGAACACCTTTGAGCAATACGGGCACCGGAAAATCCTCTCCGCCGCAGCCACCACATTCCCCATTCCTCCGCCGCCGAGCTGGGTTCCGTTGAGGGAGCAAATCCGGCGGTGGGATCCCAATGCCTGTGACGATCAGAAGTTCAGAACTGTTTCGTCCTGCATTTTAATGAATGTAATAAGAAATTAGGTTTTTTTATTTTTTTTATTTTTTAATGAATGTAATAATGAGGTGGAAAATATAAAAGTTTATTTTTTATTTTTAATAATTTTTTAATTGCCACGTCACTAAGTTAACGGTCAACTTTGAGAGTTGACTGCCACATCAGCAAAAGTTAACGGAGTTGGACGGAGAGTGACCAAACGTGAACGGTTTCAGTAAACTGAAGTACCACCAATGGATTTAAATATTTCGAGTGACCAAACTTGAACGTTTTTTATAATTTTAGTGACCAACCATGCAATTAACCCTAATAGTCAAACAAATTGCGAAAAATGAAAGGAAGGAATCTCTGCCTGTTTGCTTTGACTTTTGCTCCCACAACACCCCGTTTTGGTTAACCCGCCCAAACAAAGCATCCTTTTCTCAGAATTCGTGATCTCTGTCGACTGAGTTTTGTGTTTCAACTCGGTTCAGAGAACGATTCCCAGTTCGAGGATTTTCGGTTCCAACAAAAAAACATAATTAAGGACCTAATCGTGAATTCAATATTTAGAGCGAGAAAGCTTATTCACGAATAAAATTCAGCAATCTACTGAAATCGAATTGGGTTTAGTGTTTCTCATGTGGATGTGGTCTATACTCGATCACCTATTAAATGTTACTAGGGCTACATACAACCCACTATGAGATCGGCCACTGAAACGATGAGAATCAAATAATTAAAAACTATTTTTTTCCCCTAAACATATGTCGAATCATGCTAAGTTCGATTTTGATCATCGACAATGTTAAGGGGGCCATAAAATCAGAAGAAAGTATCGAGCTTGATAATCATAAGTTGATTAAATTCAATACAAATCATGAATGTCGATTTTATATAGAGTCGGATATTTGTTCGCTCTCTCTAATTATCTAGCATTTGGTTTCTGATGGTTCAAATTTAGCTTGAATTTCGCAAATACATGCACTTGGGTATTCCAAACAGAAATTGTTAAATACATCAATCCAATCTCATGTACATGCACAAGTAGAGGTGAGAAAAAAGGTTAGAGAAATTGGTTATTCGGTTATAGATAAATAAAAATATCATTGGTTGCTCCATTTTATGCGGCTAATATTGTTTGGCAAGATTTGCTTTAACAAAGTTCGTATCCCATCTTCACGTGTATCCCATCCTCATACATGTACGTATAGATACCGCGTAACATGTGGTGTTGCCAATTCTTCATTTTTATTATTCCCATGAAAAGGATACATAAAGTTGGAGTTATATATATATGGTGTAATTTTATTGTCATATTAAAATTACAAGGAAAAAAATATTTGTATATTATGTTCACCAAGTTTAATTAGTACGAGGACTTTTGGAAGAAAATCCAAAAGTAAATTTGTGTAGATCCGTCTCGAGATCGACAGTATCGTACTAATGGAACACCGTATCTCAGCAGTTGGTATACAGAGTATAACATGACATTTTTGTCATCACATGTTGAAATATTGCCATAAAAATTAAACATGTTAATCATTGCTAAATTTCATGACTCATTAATTCAAATCATATGTACGGTAGATCACACTAGTTGAGCATACAAGCTAGATGATTTATGTTTACTAGTTAGGATAAGCATAACTCAACCAAAACTAAATACTTTATCAATTGAAAAACAAAGATAGAGACAAAAATTATCCTCGTGATAACCTCTTCGATGAAGTCACAAAGATAGAGACAAAGATAGAGATTTTGGCTTTAAACTCATTAAGCTTATGTACTTTATTGTTGATTTTACATGTCAAATTTTGTCTAAAATCTATGCAGGTTGGAGAAATAGAAACTCAACAAAATATATACTGTATAGATAGAAGGTTACGTACAAATCTATATGAGAAATTCAGTTGACAATCTTAACAAAAGTTACTAATGAGATAACACAGAAATAGCGGTTGCTAAAATTTGAAACTAGAACCTCCTGAATCCAAACTTACGTCTCTATCGTCTCCACCGTCCGCGATGAAACTTATGGATAGTTATTTACATATGCTTATAAATTTTACTTTTGTATATAGTAGAGTTGTTTATCTAGTGAAAGGGAAAAACATCTAACAACATTTTTATTTTTATTTTTTATTTTCGTGCATAGATTGCGAATACATAGTTGTTAGCGGGTCGTTTGAATGCATTTTGGTTCTGTGGTATTTCGAATCAAAATGTTGCATTATATTGATATGTGGCATTTCATGTGGTATTTTATTTTGGAATGTGGTAATTTGGTAAATTGTCTTGTTTGGATAAAACATTCAAGAATTGTGTTATTTCACCACCTAGAGAAGTAATGTTGTGAAAAAAGAGGTTGAGAGATGATTTATTTGAAATAACTAGAGGGTGAGTAGGTCTTTCAAATAACTCACGATGAGTTATTTCAGTTGCCTCATGAACAAAATACTACATTCCATTTTAATTTTACCAAGCGAGTTATTTCAGCTGAAATACGACATAATCGTTTGAAATGAAAAGTAATTCGAAATGAATTATTTCAGCCAAAATACATCATCAAAATACTTCATCCAAACCACTCATAATAATTAACTGTACCACGATATTAATAATTTTTGATCCAACCACGATATTAATAATCGGATTCACATTTTCAAATATTTCCCAATTTTTTATTCTGCTTATCTGCAGCACAAAGAAAAAGCGGGACGTTAAAACTTAAAAGGGCCCGCCTCCGCAAGAGCCTTGCCCCTTGCCACGGTTTCCAGGAAATTTCCATCGCCTCCCTCTCTCTCTCTCTCTAACTCACGAGAACGATTAGAAAAGTCTCAAATTTTGTGTTCCGACCAAGAAACCAACATCTTCTTTTCAGAGAAAAAACCAAAGTCTCCAACTTGGTAATCCCTCAGTTGGTTTGATGATCATAATCCAACCAGACCATTCCTCCTCTTTCGAAACACCCACCAGTCTTCCCTTCCCCCTTTTCTCCCCTTTCCTCCTGCAACTGCAAAAGTCCCAAGCTTTTCCTTCTGGATTGGGCCAAACTGGGCTGCTCTCTAATTCTTCTGGGCTGCCGGGTACTGAAACCGTGAACTTCTGCTCCTCCCTCAAGGATAGGATTGGTGTCTAACGTCTGAAAGAAATCGTCAGAGCCCAGATGTAAGTAAGTCTAATCTGATTACAGTTCCATGGGGGGTTTCGTTTGTTACTTAAAACTAGTGTTTCACTCTTGCGAACTTCTACTTTACCCCCTTTGTTCTGCTCCAGTAGAAGTTTTGAGATCCAATTGGTTGCTTTCCACCCTTCTTTCTTGTTCTCTTCACTGCAGAAGGTTTGGAATTTGGATGAAATTGCACAGTTCTGATGAGGAAAGGGTCATCTGTGTATCTTCCCTTTGGGGGGACTTTTGCAGGAATTCTTGAATGGTGATTTGTCTATGAGGAAGACTGTTTGTTGAACGTAATTGGGACTTTCCATTTGAAGAAAAATTGCTGCTTCGGTTATGAACTATTCACAGGACAAGTTTGTTAGGTAAAAGTTTGATTCTTTTGCTTATTAGCAGTTTCTTATTAGGCTGGTAGATGTTTTGTGCCATTTGATGATGGATTATGATGATGGAATGTTCAGGTTTCAAGATTGGAGGTCAGAGAAAGTTTCGGATTCGGATTATTCGCCCCGGAATGGGTACCGTGGGAGAGTTAGCATGAAGATAAGCTCATTCTCTGATAAGTTCAGGAGAAGATTGGAGTCTGGTTCAGAGAGCATCAGTAGGATTAGGCAGACCTTGAAATCATACTCCTTCAACAATGGTAGTTCCTCCGATGGCTCTTCTAGTTCTAGAAAGAAGATCCTTGATCCACAGGGAGCTTTCCTACAGAAATGGAACAAGATATTCGTGCTGTCATGTTTCCTTGCTATCTCCCTGGACCCTTTGTTCTTCTATGTCCCGGTGATCGACAATGATAAGCACTGCCTTAAATTGGACAACAAGATGCAGATAACAGCCAGCGTGTTGCGTTCTTTCACGGATATATTCTACATACTTCACATTGTCTTCCAGTTTCATACCGGCTTCATTGCGCCTTCCTCCCGGGTTTTTGGAAGAGGTGTTTTGGTTGAGGACAGTTGGGCCATCGCGAAGAGGTATATGCTTTCGTACTTCTTGATCGACGTTCTTGCCTTGCTGCCACTGCCACAGGTGAGTAGAAAGAGAAGCTTCTTCCAACTTGAACATGTGTTCCCTTTCTGTAATTCATGTATTTGAATGTATGTTGCTCAAATTGTGTTTGCTTCTTTCTTGTGTTCCAGATGGTGATCCTCATAATCACTCCCAGGCTGCAAGGATCGAGAACTCTTAATACGAAAAACTTGTTGAAGTTTGTTGTAATCCTCCAGTATCTTCCGAGGATCATGCGGATTTATCCGTTGTACAAGGAAGTTACTAGAACCTCTGGCATACTCACTGAAACTGCGTGGGCTGGAGCTGCGTTTAACCTCTTCCTTTACATGCTTGCTAGCCATGTAAGCTCCAGTGATGAATTTATAAACTTGCAATTTTGCTAGGTTCCATGAAGCTTTTTTTGGTCTGACCTACTGTGTTTATTTATTAGGTACTTGGAGCATTTTGGTACTTATTCTCCGTGGAAAGACTAACAGTTTGCTGGAAGAGAGCTTGTAACACGAGCTCGTGCCGGGATACGCTGTACTGTGATGGTCCTCTAGGCAATCTGGCATTCTTGAACACCTCTTGTCCTGTCAATCCTGAGAATGCAGATGTGTTCAATTTCGGAATATTCCTTGACGCGCTCCAGTCTGGTGTTGTGTCTTCTCATGACTTCCCCAAGAAGTTCTTCTACTGTTTCTGGTGGGGGCTTCGCAATCTCAGGTAAGCAAACTATCGGAGTCATTGGACATATTTCATTTCACCCTACAGCCTGCGAAATGAACTCATGGCATGTGGTTTGTCAATTGGCAGTTCTCTTGGTCAGAACCTTGCGACAAGTACATTTGTGTGGGAAATTTGTTTCTCGGTTGCGATTTCAATCTTTGGGCTGGTGCTGTTTTCCTTCCTCATTGGGAATATGCAGGTTGGTAATAAAACTCGATTCATTGCTACCTAAATGTCCGCAGTTCTCTTACTGGTTTCTTATGGATTAGAATTGCCATTGCCATGTGCGTGAAACAGACTTACTTGCAATCTACGACAACTAGATTGGAGGAAATGAGAGTGAAGAGGCGGGACGCTGAGCAATGGATGTCCCATCGTATGCTCCCGGACAATTTGCGGGAGCGAATCAGGCGACACGAGCAGTACAAGTGGCAAGAAACCAGAGGAGTCGACGAAGAGAACCTCGTCCACACTCTTCCAAAGGACATTAGAAGGGACATAAAGCGCCATCTCTGCTTGGCACTCCTCATGAGAGTAAGTTCTTACTTTTGTAAATTCAAGAAGGTCGCTGTCTTCACATTCTGATCATCATTTCGCTTTGTGGAATTTGTGTAGGTGCCAATGTTCGAGAAGATGGACGACCAGCTTCTCGATGCATTGTGCGACCGCCTCAAGCCAGCACTCTACACGGAGGAGAGCTACATTGTCCGTGAGGGAGACCCCGTCGACGAGATGCTATTCATCATGAGGGGTAAACTCCTCACCATGACAACAAATGGCGGAAGGACGGGCTTCTTCAACTCGGAGTACCTCAAAGCTGGTGATTTCTGTGGCGAGGAGCTTCTAACGTGGGCCCTCGACCCACACTCCTCGTCGAACCTACCCATCTCCACAAGAACCGTTCGTACCATCACGGAGGTTGAAGCTTTTGCACTAACGGCGGAAGACCTAAAGTTTGTGGCCTCGCAGTTCCGTCGCCTGCACAGCAAGCAGCTTCGCCACACGTTCAGGTTCTACTCACAGCAGTGGAGGACGTGGGCGGCCTGCTTCATACAAGCGGCATGGCGAAGGTACAGCAAGAAGAAGCTCGAGGAGGCACTGCGGCAGGAAGAGGACAGGTTGCAGGATGCGCTGGCAAAGGCCGGTGGGAACTCGCCTAGCCTCGGCGCTACCATCTACGCCTCCAGATTTGCCGCCAATGCCCTGAGGCTGCTGAGACGAAACTCGACTCGTAAGGCGAGGATCTCCGAGAGGCTGCCGCCCATGATGCTGCAGAAGCCGGCGGAGCCTGATTTTACTGCTGATGAACGGTAGCTTGGGGAAAGAGTAAGTAGTTTGTTGGAATTTTTTTTTTTGGTTGTGGGGTAGTGTTCATTCAATCAACCAGATAAGTATGAGAGATGAAGGGAAAGTGCAGGATAAAAGATGTGATTTTTGAGTCCCTTTATAAGTTATCTTCGGTTGATTCTTTCTCAAATCCTGTAACCTGTACAATATTAATGTATATGAGAAATTTTCAAATAGGGTTTGTTTCTTTGTTCTTGAGTTTATATCTGATCAAGCCTTTCGAAGTTTCAGCCTTTCTTCAACAACGAGCCTGCTGCCATTATAGGATACAGAGTGTTGTTAGCTCTACTCTTGCAGACCATATATCAAGTTGACTACAACATTAGGAGTCAACAACCCATCTAATAGAAACATTCAGTACTCCCCCAAGATTGAGGTTTTTTCTTCTCCCTTCCCTTTCTAACTTCTGGGTTCTTGCAAGAGGTTTCAATCAATCATCAATTTGAGAGCTTTTCGATAAATGCAGGATTTTTCATTCCGTGGGAAAGGCTGGTTCAAAGTTGGGACTTACCTTTTCTTGGCCATGGCAGGGGTTGCTCTGTTTCTGCACATTCCTCGAGTCAACAGCCGCCATAAATGGCGTTATAAGGTTCTGCGCCCACGGTGCTGCGCTCCGTCGCCATGCTTTCCATCCGATTCGAATCTTCTTCCAGTTCCGAACGGGCTTCCCGGCGCCTTCCTCTTAGAGTTTTCTGACGAGGTGAACTAGTGGTGGACGCCAAGGCGATAGCGACAATTTGCCTTCGTTTTTCCTCGTTGACTTTGTCTCCGTCCTCCGGCTGCCTCAGGTTTATCTTAATATTCTCTAATTTACAACTTGCCAAAATTTCTGCGAACTTCCATCCCTAGTTTCACCCTTCCTTCAACAACCAGTCCGCCGCCAATTTAGAATACAGAGTGTTTGTTAATTAGCTCTATTCTTAGAAATCCAAATTACCAAGTTGGCGTCAACAGTAGGAGTCAACGACCCATGTAATAAAATCATTCATCACACACTAAAGAACACTCTGCCTACTACGCTTTTGCTCCTCAGTCCTCCCTTTCTCTGGAGCAAACTACTACATTTCCTTCCTTCCAGCTTCGCAGAAATCCCCTCAAGAATGTGAGTTTTCCTTCTCTTTTACTTTCTTACTTCTGGGTTCGGTAAAGAGAATCCAATCAATCGTCAATTTGGGATCTTTTTGATAAATGCAGGATTTTGGATCCGCATGCAAGTTTGGTTCTCAAGGGATACAGGGCCTTCTCGGCCATGGCAGGGGTTGCTCTGTTTCTGGATCCCCTGTTTCTCTACATCCCTGGAATCAACAGCAGCCGCGAATGTGCCATGAGTTTCGACGGAAACCTGCTGATTACTGCTGCGGTGCTGCGTTCCGTCGCCGATGCTCTCCACCTGATTCCACTCTTCTTCCAGTTTCGAACCGCGTTCCCGGGGCCTTACTCGAGAGAGTTCGGGAGCGGCAGGATGGTGGTGGACACGTCGGCGATCGCGAGTAGATACCTGTTTTCGTTTTTCCTCGTCGATTTGCTCTCGGTCCTCCCGCTGCCTCAGGTATCTGACTCTTCTCTTAATCTGTTTACGTTGTATCTATAATTGAATCTCTCTCATCAGCTCCAATTATTGGGATTAAGTGGTTAATTGGATGACCATGGTGGGCTGGGCTCTGCAGGTGATCGTCGTTGTAGCTTGGATTTCTGGGAAGAACAGAGGATCCAGAATGTTGACCGCCATTGCCATCTTGCAACCCGTGATAGCTTCTCAGTTCTTGCCTAGACTATTCAGATTCTATCAATTCATTCAGGAAGTGAGAAGTACTACTACCCTTGCAGTGAAAAAAGCTGCATCTGCCAGGATTGCGATTACCATCTTTCTTTACATCAATGCTGCCCATGTGAGATTACTATGTTTTCCACCAAGATTAATAACCACCAGTACCGTGAGGTTGATTGTGGAATGGGGATGTTTGAGTCTTGCTGTTTTTCCTTGATGATAGGTTGTGGGAGCATTCTGGTACTCCTTGGCCATCCGCCGAGAAATGGGTTGCTGGCGAGCAGCCTGTGGTAATCGCGCCGGATGCGATTACAACACAATGCTGACTTGTGGGAATGATGGATGGATGAATTACGCGTCTTTTCTTAATCAGAGTTGCCCCAAAGGAGGAGGATCGGATTTCAATTATGGGATGTATGCTGATGCTATTAGCTCTGGGGTGCTGGAGTCGACAGATTTCGGCAACAAGTTGCTTTACAGTTTCTGGTGGGCTCTCCAAAGTCTGAGGTCAGTCAACTTGGCAGTGAACTAGGTTTCAAATCTCACCCCTTTGATCAAATAATCTCCTCAGGTCGTAGCTCGAATCTTTAGATAATCAATGTTGGACGCAAGAAATCAAGTCGATGCGAAGTCTTAGACATACCTCTTTGTTTGATGTTGTGGTGGCAGCACTTTGGGACAGAACATTAAGCCTAGCAACAATAAGTTGGAGATATGTTTTGCACTATGCATCTTTGTTGTTGGGTTGTTGTTATTTTCGCTAGTCATCGGTATCATCCAGGTAAAAGTGATTGTGCGGTGCAAGATGATTTTACATTCTCCATTGCTGATTTCGTCGTGAAAATCTCTCTAACGAGGAGGAGAATGCTCTACCTGTGCAGACAAGGATGCTAGCATCAACCATTAGAATGGAAGAGATGAGAATGAAATGGGAAGGTGTGGAGCGATGGATGGGTTCCCATTATATCCCGGAGGAATTAAAGAGGCGGCTAAAGCGACATGAAGAGTTCAGATGGCAGAGGGATCAAGGTGTTGACATCCACAATGTGCTACAGAGTCTGCCCAGAGACCTGAGGAGGGACATCACTCGTCATCTCTGGTTGGATCTTCTCAGGAGTGTAAGTTTCCCTCCCCGTCCCATTCCCTTCCTCGTCATGTCAGGTGATTTCGATTGGATTCTGATCCTCCTTTTGTGCTTTGTTTGGTTGTTTCTACAAAATTTCAGGTGCCAATATTCTCAACGATGGACGATGAGCAACTAGATGCAATGTGTGAGCGCGTTAAGCCAGCACTGTACACGGGAGGAAGCTACATTGTTCGCGAGGGAGATCGAGTCAACGAGATGCTGTTCATCAAGAGGGGTGTAATACAAACTACAGGCACATATGGCGGGAGCTCTGTCTTCTTCAGCGCGGAGCACCTCAAGGCTGGTGAGTTCTGCTGCGACGAGCTTCTCAGTTGGGCTCTGGGACCCTACTCTTCGTTATCAGACCTTCCAATCTCAATCACAACCGTTCAAACCGTCACGCATGTGGAAGCTTTCGCGCTTACAGCTGACGACTTGAAGTTTGTGGCTACACGGTTCCGTTGGGTTCGCAACAAGAAGCTCCGCCACAGGTTCAGGTTCTACTCACACCAGTGGACGACTTGGGCCGCTTGTTTCATACAAGCTGCTTGGCGGAGGTTCAGAAAGAATAAACTAGAGATGGCGCAGAGGCGGGAAGAGGACAGGTTGGGAGATGCATTGGCTGCCGAGTCGACACCCCTTGGCGCCACCATATACGCCTCGAGGTTTGCTGCCAATGCACTACGGCTTCTAAGCCGCAAGTCGACTGGTAAGGGTACAGTGCCTCTACCGTCTGTGTCAGCGAAAAAGCCAGCAGAGCCAGATTTTAGTGACGATGAAGTTCAGTCAAGTGAGGAAATATGATAGATCAAATGTGATTCCGTGTCTCTGAAGTAATGATTTTAATTGTTGTAAACTGTATCAAGATTAATGTAGAAATGGGAAGAAAGAAAATTTGGGACTGGCTTTTGTTTAGTTCATCTAGTGCCTTGACACAGCATCCGTTGTCATCGCCCAAAGTAAATTTCCTCTGTTGGTTCAACAACCAAACCAACCACAATAAGTCTAACCTTATAAGAGCAGCAAAGAGTTTGCAACCAGGAACAAGATTCTCAAGCAATTAGAAAGAAGATAAGAGATTTATGTGCTACTTCAAAATGTGTTACATAAGGAAAGCACGCACACCACTGCTCCCCTAATCCTAATAGAGGAATAGGGTCGACTTTATCATGTTTCACTAGTTCATATACAACCCCAGCAGAGAGAGTCAGTCGCAGACTCGCAGAGAAGAGAGAAAACAAGCACAAAAAGAAAAAAAAAAAGAAGAATACGGAGTAAATTCTCATAACTCACAAGCATAAGTTCAATACCTTCAAGTGCTGTCACTAAATCTCGCAGCTGCGATAAACCAGTACTGAGGGACTTATTGCTAGCAGCTTCTCTGAACCAGCCATAGCTTCCATCGTAGATAGCTCGCAATTCCTCGTACCTTGGAATCGGAGTAGGCCAGAAATGGACCCTAGGCTGGAACAGTGTCCACCGAGGTATAGTTTGTCTTACTTCAGAGAAGAATTCTAGATGTCCCTTCCTCAAGTCGCAGGACAGAACCGCATGTTTGAAGAGTAGAAGAGGGGTAGTGCTCAAAGAAGACAATTTCTGGCTTCTCCGGATGCAAGGTCGAGGACTCTCAAGTGCTCGGGCTCATAGTTACAACCCGGAGTCTCCACAAGCCCTTCACATTGTTTCTTCCAAGATTCACGGCCTTCTTCCAGTCTCCAAATGCTCACACGAGTAGGTATAGTCGCCCCTTCTAGTGCAATTATGTGCAGAGCGCCTTGTGAGACCGAGATATCTCCCCTCGGCTTGTCATAGAACTCACCAATATAAGTGGGAGTTAGATCGAGGGGGAAAATATTCAGGGCAACAAGAGTAGTACCAAAGTAGGCATCTGCATAAAACCAAAGCAACTCCCCGTTCAACGAAATCACATTATGGTCTGGGAGTTTGCGGCAGCCATGAAAAGCACGAGCCTTGTTAGTCCATTTCCCAGACTCCGAGCAAAACACGTCCAATTTGATAGAGGTCTTATGTTGATAGATACACACCACTCGAAACCGATACTCGGAGTAAACATATGCCGGTTCGCCATCTCCTAGATCAAGATTACTAGAAATGCAGGGTTCACAAACTAACCTTGAAACCGGCGCTTCATAACCCTCTTCTTTTGCAGGCGCTACGGGGAGCGCCATCCACTGCTTCGTAAACTGATTGCAGACCACGTACGTCCTGCCAAGTTCATGGTTATCGTTATCAAAATCCCCATACCCGCACAAGAGCAGGTCCTTGAAGCAATCCAAGACTCGGAAACCGAGTCGAGCTGTAATCGGCATGGGCGGCATAAAGCTCGTCAGGTCGCTCGCGTCGTTGGAGTGGATAAGCAGAGGTCGCGGTTCCTTCATGCTCCCTTGTTGGTGGGAAATGAACCTGCGATTGAAGGAGTGATGGGAGATTAGGGAACTCCAACGCCTGCAGACCAATTTGCAGTTGAAGGCGGATCTAGGGTTCGGGAGGCGAATCAGAATCTCTACCAGGAGATCGTCTCCGAGCTTGCGGATCATGGAAGGAGGAGGGTTGGCTTCTGATCGGATTGGACGATTCAGTTTTGTGCGGTCCGCCATGGCGGACGGTAGGCAAATGATCGGATTGAATGGAAGATGACGCCGGCGGGAAAAGGAGAAAGGACCACCGCCCGTTGAGCTTGGGACGAGTACAATTCCCGCCACCAATATTGGTTACAAATTTACTCGAAGTGACACCCCTGAAAAATTACAAGTTTGGTCACTTACATTTAGTTTACTAACAAACCGGTCATTCGTATTTGATCTTTAGCAAAATGGTGCCTACATTTGTAAGTAAATAAATCGACTCCACACATTTTCAATGATAATTAGACACATCAACGTTGGCATGTCACTTGAACCGATTTATTAACTTTCTAGCAAATCGCCACGAATGACGAAACTACTCAAATTCGATTTGTTTGGGGAAGATTCGATCTCAGAGCAAACAAATATCATAAATATTGATATAATAGATTAGAGACTCCATCGTTTAGTTCTTCCATGATTTCAATTCCACCATCCCCTATACGGCTATACCTAATCCATTAAGTGTAGGGAAGTTTCGAAAGCACCATAAACTCGTATAAAACAATGAACGAAGCAACACCTTAACGAAATTTTCCAATTTCGACAATGAAAAATCAAATACACCATGCTGGAAATATTAATGACAATCCAAGATATTACAATCAATCATTAATATAAATAAGTGTATACTTCGTGAGAGTATAGTTATTATTACACTCGTCAAATACTAATAATAACACCGTGGGACTTGCACGAGCACGATAAGACACGACACGACGGCAGGTGCATCACATTCGCTGCCCTCTGACAAGGAAAGGAGCTGGGGCGCCTCGAAGCAGGCTCACCTCCCTTTTCAAGAAGTTGGGCAGTGCAAAGGCAGCTCTGTGCATCTGTTTTCCCAAACAAAAACTTAAATCTTTAGCACTTCTACATATGACTATCTGTATGTACTTACGCAACAGGGTAGGAAACATGATCAAACATCAGCAGGTAGCTTACCTCGGAGTTATAGAACCTAAGTTCCCTCTTGTGTTTCCCTGCTCCTTCCACCTCCTCAATTGGGTTGACAGGGTTCAAGAAATCCACAGCAGGACCCTCCGTGGAGCACAACAAGAATCCAATCACCCCACTGCAATTTCCAGATTCGAGAGCAGCAGCAACGATCAAAACTAAAGCATTTTCCTAGTCCAAGAATACTAGGCAAAAAAGAAAAATGCAAAATCTTGTCTGGCATTTACCTCGGGTACGTTGGCACGCTAGCCCAGGCGTAGTGAACAGAGCCCTTGAAAGTCTCACGACAGATGGAGATCATGTCCTCGATGAGATGCGTGTGGAGCCACATGCTCTCAGCCATGTTGCAGAGGACTCCACCGGGCCTCAGTGCTCTTGCTATGGTCTCGAAGAATGGCTTCTCGACGAGCTCTTGAGCAGGGCCTGAAATGGGAGATAGAACGGTGGAGTGAAACTTGACATCGTGCAATCAATCATCAAACAAAAAACTAGCAGCGAATTATATTCTAGCAGCTATTGACTTGTAAATGTACATTTCTCGACTGTTCAGGACTTGGTATTAGCAGAATTGCAGAGTTCAAATACCATGGACCACATACCTACAGGGTCCGAAGAGTCTACAATTATTGCATCATACTTCCCTTTAGCAGTACGCTGGAGGAACTCCACAGCTGTTTAAGATCAAAGAGTTAGTATTATTAGTTGATACCGAGAGCACAGCATTGAAAGCACCAAAGACAATGTCTAGCAAAATGGGGGAAGTTAGAGAGCGTACCATCACCGACGTGGAGGTGAACACGAGGGTCCTCAAATCCAATGGATAATTCAGGGAAGTACTTCTTACTTACCTAGAATATCAGCAAGACTGTATTATGAGACAAATAACTGCAGGCAAGTCTAAAGACACATAAACAAGGAACGGGACGTACATCTATGACCATCTTATCTATTTCACATATGTCGATGGTCTCCACTGATGTGTGACGAGAGATTTCCCTGAGGACACCTCCATCGCCACCTCCAACTACAAGGACCTGCGATGATGTTCTGATTAATCAGGACAAACAATCTGAAAAATGAAAGTGAAACTGTGAAGCTCAAAATTAAAACTCACAGCTTTTGGGGATGGAATTGAGCAGAGTGGGAGATGAGCTATCATTTCCTGGTATGCACATTCGTCTTTCTCGGTCAACTGAACGATGCCATCGAGTACAAGAACTTTTCCATAGGATGATGACTATCATATGATAGGGGTTGAGATAATGAGAACCTCTCATTACGAGACATTAATGAAACAAATAAAAGCATATGCAGAGAAATCAAGGATGGCAACCTGAAAGACCAAAACCTCCTGGTAGTCTGACTTCCCCTCATACAGAATTTCCTCCACTTCCAGTGAGTGTGCTTCTCCTGCATACATTGAGAAACTGATCAATCAACTAAGAGGATGGGAAAGGAAACCCATAAGAAGCAAGATGTGCTGTAAACGGCGAGGCAACTAATGACAAGAAATAAATTGGTTGCTTCCTAGGATATATACAATGACCAAATTCCTCGACTACGGTACAGGAAAATAAGACTAATGTCGTTGTTTGGAGGAGCATACCATCTCCGAGTTACTATTAGGACTGCGAAAGGATTACAAGGCAAGAACCAAGAGTACTTTATACTGAAGTTTGCACATATACATCATGCCATATGCTTAAATCAATACATGAGAACTTCTAGAAAATCGAAAACCAATTCATGCCAATAACTCAAGTTATTGTGAGGAAGTTATTGTGAGGGGCTCAAAAGTGAATCTTAAACCTTTCACTGAAAAATCAGTTCAAGGTCCTACCCTACAATATAAAAATCACAAGGGATCAGGCTCTCATACAAAGAGATAGTGATCTGGAAACTTTGGAATCACTTACCAGGCCACATAGGGTTGTTAAAGTAAACAACCTTTTTCCCAGCTTTGCCTGTGAACAAAATGACAACAAAAGGAAAGCTATGAGTAACCATTTTTCACCAAATCAACCAGCTGAGCAGAAGGAAGAAGAAGAAGAAATCAAAGGATATCAACCAGAGCAGGATTGAGATTCCGAGAACCACCCAGAAACAACAGTAGAGTGGCATTTCGCATCAAGCTCAGCAGCTGCTGAAGAAGCCCTGGCCTTTAGACAGCAAGCAGGGACAGTAGTAATGGGTTTCTGTGGACCATTATGTCCATTACTCTCCTTCCCATCCATAATCTTCTGGCATCCCAAATCTCTTCCTGCGTCTCCCTCCATAGATTATCTTCTTCTTATCCGGCTCCAGCCTCTGCATAAACAACCAGTCAATCAATCACATTTGGGATTCACCCAAAACCAACCAAAAACCTCAAAACTTGCGGGAAAATGAGTCCCAACTCTCGTAGCTCCACGGCAAATAGTTGGTCACCCACCAATCAAACCATTAACGTGCATTCAATTAGAAGCCCAAAAAACACAAACCCCCACTTTTTTGCAATGATCATAGAAACATCATATACTAATCACACAGCTCTGCATGCCAAAAGTTTCAGCTCAGTCAAGTACAGCAATCAACGTAGCCCATTATCACCATTTTCCAAACAACAAAACCAAAAAACGAAGGGAGGGAACTTTTCACGGCGTCTCAAGTCTCATCAAGTATAGACTGAGAGAAAAACTTGGAACCCTCTCTTACGAAAAAGGAAGGGAACCCCAATCTTTTTTTCCCAGGAAACAAACGGAAACAGGCGCCTAACTGGGTAATTTACCGGAAAAATGGCGCGACGAAGAGAAAAAAGTTCAGAGCTCCCAATAAAAACCCTCGCTCTCGCCGGTTTCAGCCAAAGATTGTTGGTTGAGAAAAAAAAGAGAAGCCAGTAGAAAAAACTCAGGAAGGGGGAGGAAACCGAAACCAATACGCAGCAAGTTCAAACAAATAATTAAATAATCGGAGCGTGAGGCGGAAATTACAGTTAAGTGCACGCAAGAAGCCAAAAATAACGGGGGGGAAAAAAACTAATGTAGCAAATGGGAGAGAAAATTAAGAAAAAAGGGTTAGTTCTCGAGGCTTGCCCGGCGGGAAATGTGTGAAGAGTGGAAGAAGATTTAGCGATGTAAGGAATGCCGGCCGGGAAACGTCCGACGGCGGTGGTAGTGTTACTCAGTCGTCGGCGGCGGCGGAGGAGCGGTTACTTTGCTGGGTTTTTGGGATTTCTATTGTCTTTAGCTTTTATAAAGCCGTGGCGTTGGTTTTATGGTAATGCAAATCTCTATTCCCTTTTTATAGTGCGCTGATCAGCTAAGTTCTGGTTCTGATTATGTTTGGGAAATTAATTGTTTAGTGTAGCGATGAGGCTTAAACTAAAAGGGAACGAGAAAATACTTTATTATGATGGAGTGATTAATTAGTTCAATTAATTGATCTTGGTTTAAAGTTTGATCATCAACCTAAGGTGGATGCTTAGCTCATTTTGGTTTCTTTTTTTCTTTATATTCTAGTTCCTAAAATATTAAGTGGCAAAGAAAAAAATAGGACACAAGAAAGTGACATAGGTAGATTAAGTAGTGTTATCTAAAACTACAGTGGCAAAATGTATGCCACATAAATATATTTTCCCCCCCTACATTTTGGAAAATTCATCAAACACGTAACGTTCCGATTCTCGTAAAATCTCTTTAGATGGGCTTATCAATTTGTCGATACGAAAGAGTAGCATGTTGATATGACTTGAATCGGATTATCTGTCGTTGATTGGAATTCACGGGATCTCGCTGACTTACAATCTCCTCAAGTATAGTTAAACTGAATCTTTCCTCACCATAGACTAACTAACAAGCATTGTGTTAGTAAACCACGTAAAAATGTATGTGTCTTTACTCTTTCGCATAATCCCGATTTGTTCTTAACATAACTTATACAAATACTCCAACCCATAATCTTCTCATCTTTGATCTTCACAT